ATTAACATACATTATGACAGGGGACAGTGATGGATATACATGATGGATATTATGTGGGCTTGGAATACATAATATCCATCAGTGTCCCCTGTCCTGCCACAGTGCACATCTCCCTGTCTGCCTACCTTTCTCTGATTCCAGCCGACTGAACTATCTGGACTGGAGAGTACAGTAGATACAGCGGCGGATTGATATCTGCTGTACTCTCCAGTGCAGACCGGAACTATAACTTAATTGTCGGGCGCCACGGCCCCTGATATCAATGCGCCGGCCCGAAAGTGAGGAAATAGTCCCCTCTCTCCCCGGGCCATACCACTTTATCGGAGAGCCCGGGGGAGGCCGGGAGAGAGGGGACAGTTTGACATTATGAGGTTCCACAGGCTAAACCACAAATTCCCCCTCTAGTTCTCTCTAATGCAGATGGGCCGGCCTATGCAGACATGACGCCGCGACCCACTGCAGAGGGTGTCGCGACCCACTTTTGGGTCGCGACCCACGAGTTGAGAACCACTGGTCTAGAGTACCAAAGGTCCCTTTTTTTATTACACTTCTGATGAGTTGCTAAATAGAAGTTCTTTCCCAAGTAGTCACAATATTTTCTGAATTATATAGCAGAGTCTGTTATGACTAGAAATGTCTCTGACCCCTCCTCTCCCACAATTTATATGATATGATTTATTAATTTGAAGAACAGTGCATTATTGGTTTTATTCGCTAAGGGCGTGTTAACTTCCCAGCTAGCAAGGAATTGAGCTGCAAGTTTGGAAATGACTTTCTAAACTATTTCAGACCTGCCAAGCTTCACAATTTTGTTGGACAATTACAGCAAGTCTGAATTGCAAGTCTCCAGATCAATGGGCTTTGCAAAAGTGCTGTACACTTGCAGAGCTCTTGCTAAGACCTGCAGGACTCTTGCTGTAGAGTTGCCAAGCAAATTTGCTACAAATTCAAAAAGTGTCAACTAGAACTTGCAAGTGTTTTTGGAAAGTCTACAACTTGCCAGGAATGTGTGCAGCAAGTTAACAAGAATTAGAATTTAACCTTGTCACAAGTTTGTGGCAAGTTATCCTTGCTATCTGGGTTGTGGTGCATTAAGGCAGTCCATTCATGCCTAACACACCAGAAAAGACCAATAATCAGACCTGCTGTATTATTGCTATTACAACAGCCCGTAGATGTGCTTTGAGCTGCAGCTACAAGTAACAATTGTAGCTGAAGCCCAAAGGACAGTGTTGTGGCAAGGAGAACTTCCCGAATCAAATCTCCAATGTGTGTAGTGAGTGTACAGTGGGCCTCTTCCCCTATGGGGCCTGTGTGCACTGCATGCACTGGACACATTATGGACATTCCAGTGACCGCATTACACCAATGCATGTAATATGCATTACTACAGTATAGTGGTATGAGTGGCCCTAAGACAGCACAAAGTGCAATGTTTGGTAACCTCTAGCAACCAATAGGATAGTTGAAGATGAATTCTGTGCCTTATTGAGCAGCTCTGTTTGTGGAAAGTGATAGGCCAGGATCAAGATTGTAGACAATGAAGTAACAACTTCTCTTCTGCATACCTAATCTGTCCTGGAAGATGTATCTTGTGACAATATGTCAGAGATGTAACAATAAGGAACAATGAGGCAGGTTATTCCTATTACAATTATTACCATACAATCACACCTTGTGTCAAATGTTCCCCCCTCTGCTGCTCAAAAGTAGTCCTGAACACTTTTTAAATGTATGTACAGACAATTTCTTTAGTTTTGAATAGAGTCGGAAAGGGTTACATTGTATGTTTAAAATAGAATTAGGAGGGTTAGATCCTTTGTCGAGTTTTATTGTTGTTTGTGTTTCCGCTTCACCCTCTTATTTTGTTCTGGTGTTCTTTGTTACCGAGACAGAAAGTGATGGAAACTCCCAAATTTTGGAGTTGGTTTCAGAGTAAGAGATTATCCAGTGAGGACAAATGTTCCTGTGACAGCTGTTCAAGATGGAAATTCCCCTCACTTTAGACATCTCCTCTCATTTCCTGTTGCATCTCAGCACAACACAGACAGCAAAAAAATAACTTAATAAATGGTTTTGAAGGCCAAGTTTACCTATTTGACAATGTTTGACCCATATTTAGAGTGTAACATTGTCAGACTTATCAGAATCATAGGGTTCTTCTCCCTGCAGGCTTGCAGGCTTGTTTACATGTTTGAATTCCGCAAGCCTGTGCGAGGCTCCACCCACATCATATACAATAAAACATTTACCGCACACTTAACAGCTAGCCTGCAAAAAAAGAAAATATCAAATACACTGTCTAACTATTAGGGTCAGAGCAGAGGTTAGTTGCACAACTTTTGCAAAATGTGTGGAAGCCACGCCCCACTGTGTATTGTGGTCCTAACTCTAATCTTTGAGAGCCTCCTTCTTGGAGCATATATAGCAAAAGGATGGATTGGGTGCAGGTTCAACAGGAGCCCATTCCCCCTGAAGGAACAGGGACACACCAGACCCAGCACATCACAATAGCAGCTAAAGCCCCCAGTGTGTCCCCACACCAAATCCAACAAGTGAAAGAAATGGCAAACACACTCATCAATTCATAACTAGCTTTTAAAGAAAAGTGCACCCGCACAGTTGCATCATCCATTCACAGATCCAAGGGAAGGCCCCACACAACATATCCCATTCCATTTCAGCCCTACCATGTATCCCTTCAATCACCAGATACAAGCCAACCTCTCAATTCGAACTGACTGGTTTCCATTTAATTATTATTGTGGCAAACCTTTAGAAAAACAATGATAAAGCACCACAAATGTTTTAAGGATGTGGCAATCCACTGTTTGGGATTGTAAACACATGTGCACAAATAAGCACAAATAATTTTGCACATCCTTTGCTAAATAAGAAGCTGTTAGATTTGCATTGGATAGGTGCCTGATTTTGTCAGTAATTTAATTGCTAAATCCCCCTCTGTGTGTGCAGCAAGTCTGTTTTGAAACCCTTTCCTTTAAGGGTTTAAGTTTTTAAGAAAACTAATTTTCACGAGTATATCTCTAAATCTCTAAATATATTGCTGTCTGTACAAAACATGATTAAGAAAGTGGAGTCGTGACCTACAGTCCAGTCGTTAAGAAGCTTGATGTTTAATATTTCTCTGATTAGGTGGATTTAATTAATCTGCTCATTAGCTCTAAGCAATATGATGCTAACATTGATTGAGAGGAAAGAAAGAAATCTCGTATTAATGTAAGGTTGGTTAGCTGTATGCAGAACAAAGAACAGAATAAAGGGCCTGGATTTATTCTGCATAATAACCCATTGTCTCCATCTTATTCAGAAATGTTGTTTTGTGTCTTTTTCCCCCCCAATAAGATATTCTTAGCCTTGGCTAACTTTGAGAAGAATGAATATGGGGAGGAGCTGTCAGTTATTTACAAATGGAATCCAAAGAAAATGAAGTTCTTTCCGTATCAGAGTACACAAACGTACAGTGCCCGTGACTGGGAAGCCTTCCACATAGATGGAGAGACCTTTCTGGCTGTCGCAAACCACAGAGAAGGTACCGTATCCATCTCTTCTAAATAACACAAAATAAGTAATAGTTCTGAATTAAAATATTCAAAGCCATTTTTTTTTCTGTTTTGAGAGAGTGGTGAAGGGTTAGAAACTCAGTCATTGTTGCCTGCTGTGGCGATCCACCCTCCATATTTCTCTTGGTAGCTATTGTTACTAGGACAATAAATGATAGAAAATCCAAACTTTCACAGTTGTCACTAAAGCAGGAGGTAAGGAGAAGTCTTCCAATGGGAACACTTTTTACTTTGACCGCCATCTAAGACCGAATTTCCCCTTTTTCTCTCACTTCTGTTTTGTCTCGAGGAAAAGAAGTGAAGAGAAATCTCCCGAGAAGGGCTTTAAACTATTCTCCACTCTATCCAATGTAATCCTTCCATTGCCTAATTTCCCTCTGTGCTTAATATCCAAAAGTTAAAGGACGTTCCCCAAAAACATATAAAAGAATTTGGGGCCCCCTTGGAGCAGTAATGCTTTACTAGTGCTTCCAGATATTGGTTTTGCCCTAATGATTTGTGGGAGGAATTGATTTGCTGGTTCTGCCTTGTACAGATTTTGCTGCAGTGAGGCTCCTGTGAGATCTTTGTGCTTGAGTACTTTTCCTGGTGGATTCCTTTTTTTTTTATATCATGAAGAATGCAATAAGAGGTGTTCGGACATCTTAAGATGGTCTGCAAAAGTCAAAATGCCTAGGAGGGTGGAGAAATATAGGTATTATGGTAAATGGATCTCACCCCTGGAGCCCTAAATAAGCCAATGCGTGGCAGCCCACCAGGTTCCATATATTAACATCAATGTTGGGTGGACTGACCCTTTAAATTATTGTTGTAATTATCCAGTAAAACCATCAGAACAAAAGATACAATTTAGTGAGTTATCAGGGAATTTAAGACCCTACTTATGGAAGCCTCCAATGGCCCATACTGAGAGGAGGAAATGCATATGATTTATATAAGAAAAGGTAATATCACGAGCAGCAGCATGATGTCATCATCTCTTTATGGGCCTGCTTTTAGGGTGAGCAAGAACATCCTGCACGACTTTGGACTCTACTAAAATAGTTCAAGGAACACAATATACAATAACCCAAAACAACCAAACAGAATTTAGCATTCAACAAACACTGCCCCTGTGCCAGTCAGCAAGTTCTCAGTAATCTTCTGCAACTAGTCCACATGCAGATCACAGGTAGTCCACTTTTTGAAGCTTTTGCTGTGTAACTTTCTCTCTGCTTCCATCTTTAATCACATTCAAACTTTTTGTATGGGAGAGACAGCAAGGAGCCTTCGGTTAGTGTGTTGGGAATTACCATCCTGCATCACAAGCAGGGATTCTCAGATCATCATGTTACTACCAAAGCAAGTACAGTGGACTGGTGCACTATAGCAATAACAGGTTGAAAGACTAAACCCGTTAGCAAGTAGGCAGCATTATGCAAAAAGAAAATTTTTCCATTTTGAGGGGGTTTACCATATATTTCAGGTGTCTTTAAACATTTAAACAATGGTCCAGTTCAGTGTCTATCAGACTGTTGGACAGCTGGATAGTGGCCAGTAGGTGTAAAAAAAATATCCCAGTATCTGTGGTGAGTGGTAGTAAATAAGTGTGTCAGCATCGGTGGTCAGTGAGGGGTAAAAAATGGTGTAGTGGTCAATGGGAGTGAAAAATATGGTCAGTGGGAGGTGGGATAGTTCCTTATCGTTGGTGTTAGTATGAAGAATAATGCAACATTTTGGGAATTAGTGGGAGAAATAGTGCACAATCCTTGGTATTAATGGTAGGAATAGTTTTCCATCATTCAGTGTGATTAGGAAAGCCCACCCAACATTGGGGCTCAGTATTTGCTTACCTTTGTATGTACTCCTTGTGTTTCACTGCTCTTCTACTGGCCAGATGACATCACGACCGGAACTATGCAGTTGCTGTCAGGCAGGAGACTACTCTACCAGCTAAGATATGTTGAAGGGTGCTTCAACACTTTGTGAGCCTGCTCCTGGCACTCCCTCCACTCTGCATACAGCTGCTCTGGTGAATAACAGGGCACAGCATGTAACATCTAAAGCATTGGAATATTCTGGCCTTATGCATTGTTTTATATGACAAACCTCACAGATCAATGTGCATTACCAAATGGTGTTTCTGGATAAAATGAAAATAACCTGATTTAGATCTATTCATGTAGTCACAAAGAAGTGTCACCATCTCTCACAACCCCTTTGAATGCAAAATGGAACCGTATTCCACTGTTGTAGGCACCAGTTTTGCTAGGAAAATGACAGCTTTGTCTGTTGTTGCTGTGTGTATATACAGTATATTTATATGTGTTAAAGGAATCATACTGTATCACTGCTACATTACAGTTTTCAGTACATATTTCACTTAAAATGTACTATATTTACAGGTAACAACCACAACATCAACAGTGTTATTTACAAGTGGAACTCAAGCAATGGGTTATTTGAGATCAACCAAACCATTCCTACCTCAGGTGCCTACGACTGGGAGTTCTTTAGCATTGGACCCTATTCTTTTCTGGTTGTAGCAAACACATTTAATGGAACGTCAACCAATGTCCAGTCCCACATCTACATTTGGCTGGGAAGCGCATTCCGGTCCTTTCAGTCTATAATGGTAAGCAATGCACTTTCTTAAAACACTAATTGGGGTTGATTTACTAACCTTATAAACACACCACGAACATGTATACACTTCTGTAGTGTGTTCCCTCCCAGCATGATTTACGGGTGGAATCTAAACACCTTTGTAGTGTGTACACACCCAGCAGGTGTGTTGTGCAAAGCCCTGCATGAATTGCAAGGTGATGTTGTATAAATTAGCTCTATGTTGTGTTGCTTGCGTTGATGAATGCAGGAATGTAAATGCATGAGCTAACCATTTTTGTCTAAACTGTGAAGCAGCATTATATATGCATCATGTGCATGATTTTTACATATATGGCATTAGTGGAAATATGCTTTTAGAAACTTTTTGGTTGATAAATACGTTTTGCTGTGTGAAAATCACATGCACCTGGTGCGTGCGTGTGTTTAGGTTAGTAAATCACCCCCATTATCTCAATCCATTAACTTTAAATTTTCAGCCTTTTTTAATACATGAAATACATTGATAAGTTGTGTGTGTGTGACATTCTATATTGTATTTATGCCTAATGACGTGCTATCTTCCACACGGACATGCCTACTCTTAAATGAAAACATTCTGAAAGTTCACATATGTACAGGTGAAACTCGAATAATTAGAATATCGTGCAAAGTTCATTTATTTCACTAATGCAACTTAAACGGTGAAACTAATATATGAGATAGACTCATTACATGCAAAGCAAGATAATTCAAGCCGTGATTTGTCATAATTGTGATGATTATGGCTTACAGCTCATGAAAACCCCAAGAACCCCAAATCCACAACCTCAAAAAAGTAGAATATTACATGCAATCAATAAAACAAGGATTGTACATAGAACAATATCGGACCTCTGAAAAGTACAAGCATGCATATGTACTCAGTACTTGGTTTGGGCCCCTTTTGCAGCACTTACTGCAATTACTTTTGCACGATATTCTAATTATTCGAGTTTTACCTGTATATTACAGTAAAAATCTAATGGAAACATAATTACATAAGATTACAGTTCTATTATGTTTTTCAAATCCTTAAAAAGCTTTACAGAATTTCTCAGAAGCGAACAACAGTTTTCATGAGAATACTATTTCAAATGTTAGTCTATGTAGAGATTTAATGAGAACCAAAGGAAGTTAGTGTCTAAATATGTAAATCACAGCCTGTTCATTCATAACTGGGGACACATAGCACTATGTGTCCCCAGTTATTTACAAACACTGGAGTGATCAGACGATCGCTCTGGTGTTTGTCCTTCTCACACGGAGGACCGGTAAATATCACTGATATTTACCTATCCCCCGCTCTGCCATGCACAGAGCCGCTGTCATCCTGAAACTGACAGGATGACAGCGGCTCCGATCTCCTACCTGCTCGGCCATCCTGACAGCTGCGGGCGCGGCTTCTCTCCCCTTTACCGCTCCGCCATCCTGACAGCAGGCAGCGCTGTGCGGGCCCGCGGGCCTCGTGTTTGCCACCCCTGGTCTAAAACAATGAATATCTAAGTAATGAGGTTTCTAAATGTTGGTACATTTTTGTGCACCAAAGGTACCTATAGGAATGAGGTGACAGCTGACAATCTTATTTCACTGGGTAACTGCTCTTAAAGAAAGCTTAATCCACCCCAGTGTTCCAATTGTTATATTCCACTGGATGGAAGGTGACACCTGCAGAATCTGCCTCAACATCTCTCTCCCTCTCTATTCTGTTGAATTCTCTGCCACGACAAGGCTTAATGTTTATGTAATGGTAGGTTAAGACTATTTCCAGAGCACTGCAATATAAAGTTTACATAACTGAACATCGTCCTATTTCCATAGCTGCCATAAGACATGTCTCATTTTTTATTGACTAGAATCAAACTGACTAACAGGTTGGAGGGCAAGTGGGTAGAGGTAAGATTCTTAACTTCAGCCTGCAGGCCCTCCGAGTTGATTTGTTCAAGCCACAAGCACAAGCATCTCATCTCCATTACTTTGTGAAAGTTTAAGAACATCTGATCATGACCAGGGAAGGAATATTGTAGAGTAAGTCAGTACTTTTTATTTGAATTGTTTAGATAATGGCCACCTAACAGTTTTCAGTGGGCAAAGTCAGCTGAACATCATAGTTACATGTAACATCATAGTTACATAGTTAGGTTGACAAAAAGGCACACATCCATCAAATATAACCTATGGAAAAAGAACAGAAAAAAGGAAGAACCTCCAAAAACAGAATCAGAAACCGGGGTGAGAAAAATCCTTCCTTATCCCATGAGGCAATTGGATAGTCCCTGGATCAACAATCTCGTTTTTTTTTTGTTTTTTTATAAAATGCTAATATCTTCTAACATATCTCTAACATTTGAATAGCAAGATTTGCCTGCAGTTTTTTTGTTTACTATATTTTTCCTCCTACAATGCCATAAGAAAGCTGTCACTCATTTGCAGCTATACTGTTAAATGATTTACTTATTCTGCATTATTTATGGTCATGTAGTGGCTGTGGCAGTTGGGTAGGGCTGAGAAGTCTACCAGAAATATTACTTAAGTAAAGTTGCCTGTGGAAACCTAATCACATGATATAATATCACTTAGAAGGGCACTTTAGCATGATATCAGTATTATCAGGTCCAGTGTTATTTCCCTATTGTAAAGAAGTCTCTTTAATGTTAACAAAGTTGTATAAATTGTTCTGCATCAATTTAGATTCTCCCTGGATCAAGTTAATACATGCACTTTCATTAAAATATCAGTTGACACATTTAGTAGCTGATCTCCCCATTTGATTCATCAGTCGCTATTTCTAAAATACTGATTTCAGCACCAGACAGAGGACTTAATTTCACCTGCACTCAATACTATCAATAAATATGTCCATTTATTGGACAAATCGTCACAGTGAAGAAAGCCAACGTTCGGGGCCACGCAGGGTCCCTTCATCAGGGCAAAAAGATGTGGTCCCCTGTGAGTGCTGGTGATTTCTGTCCTCTGTCTTGTGTCTGCAAGGCGCCATCCGTGGTCATCACTGCGAGCACCATCTTTTCTATAGGCCGGGGGCGTTGTGAGTAGTGCGGAGGGACTCTCCATCTACCTACATTTGATTTCAGCACCATTTATCTTCCTGGGTTCTTTCCTTCCTTCTCACTTTGGAAGGCAGTCAGTCATATCACACCAGCCTCATGCCCTCAATGCCACATGACTCATCCCCCTTAACAAGTGCCAGGTGGCAGGACCATAGCCCAAGGACTCATGCAGTATGGAAAACAGCCAGGCTGGATAACAATATACATCATTAATTGTTTCGCTTTAGGGCTGGAATAATTTTACAGTAGCAAGGGAATCCAAATAGACAGGTGAATAAATATACCTAAACAAGCAGGGTACTGGCACTGCTTTCTTGCTGCCAATCCAGAAAAAGCTTAAATATATACACTGCACTCCTTTCACTTTGATTTAAAAATAAAACGCATTCAATATGAATCAATAGTGATCGACCATAATTACTTTGAAGATTTTTAAAGGTACACTAATTTTGGATCCTGACATTCAATTCTGCACCAATGCATCCCATTGTGCATGAGGTTGGTGAGTTGCCTGGCACAGAATTAGTGGTATGAGGCTGCAGTCTTACTCAAAAAAACCACAACAAAAGGCATGTCTGATGTGACTGCAAGTGACCGTGGCAAATTTGTGCAAAACTCTGATTTGGATAAATTGAGTGAACCTAAGCACAGCTGCAGTGTTTGGATTGGCCTGTTCTGCATTACACGTTTGCTGGATGATTTCCCTTATTGTTTGCCTTTTTAAACTTAAAGGAGAACTATGGGGTTAAGTCTTTTCCCCATAGTTCTCCTTAGGGTAATGTAAGGACACAAACTAGCGTCCTCCCGTCACCCTAGGCTCAGTATACTGCGAGCTGTAGCTCACGGTATACTGAGACGCCGCAGTATACAGCAAGCTGCTGCTCGCGGTATACTGAGACGCCGCAGCTGAAGCGGATCCCGACAATTGTGCCGACTGACAGCTGGCTCTGCCTATCTAAAGGCAGAGCCAGCTGTGACCCGCCCCCTCCCCCGTCCGTTCCGCCAGTCAGCGCTGGCGGATCGGAGCGGGGAAGGGGGAATCCAGCCCCTCCCCTGTCATGCAGAGAGCCGTGACAGGATCGAGAGATGAGCGAACGCCGGTATGTGTTCCCTCACCTCCCGATCTACTGAGCCGACCTGTGACAGTCTCATTGTCACAGGTCGGCTAGAACTATGAGGTGAGTGGAAAGCACTCACCTCATAGTTCTCCTTTAAACTCCAGGAAATCAGGTAAATGCACAGGGGAAATACATTTAAAGGAGCCAAAGGATTTGTATTCCTGTCCATTCAGTCTTAAGATTTACATAGCTCTTCACTGTCATGCATTGAAAAGGACCCGATTTTTCTTTGCTGCAGTTATGTAACACATACAGGTCTTGTTCCTTCACCTAGTCTTAGACTGAGTAGTGAAAGGAGAAACAATCGGACGGATGAGCTCATCTCTCTGTCACTCTACTCTATCCTCCTATCAGCATACCTCTTGCACTGCAGCACAACTGATTGGCTCCTTATGCTGCTCTTCTCTCTCCTAATCTGAGTGGTGCTGTACAGGGCATTAGAAGAGCCAGAAACCAAGTCAAATTCAGGAAACTAAACAAGCAGGGTTTAAAAAATAAATTGAATTATTTATTAATGAATACAGAGCTGAATTAATGTGTGTCTATTGAATCTGCCTGGAATTCAGCTTTAATTCTCAGCTCCAGCCAAAAGGTTTTTCCTCAGTATGTGGCCAGTGGTACAGGGGGTGATCGGAATCCATTCTGTGGGATGCAGACAATGCTAAAACCACATTTTACAAGTTCAGAGAGCAAAAGTCAGAATCACTGCCAGGTTTTTATTGCCTTGTAACTGTTTGGGAGGGGCACCTTATTTCTTGTGTGGACACCGGATTTGCAAAGAAATCTCCCCAATGGGGACATAGACA